CATTATAAGAAGTGAAACCGTTAAATAAATATTTTTCTGTGGTCTTTGTGCTTCTAAGGTGCTGTTTTATCCAATACAAAAGTGCCCTCTAGTGGGAGGGATCATATCTCTTCATCTACACATTGCTGACTTTGTTCTTTGCATGACAAGAGCGAAAAAGAGGTGATTTCTAACAAACAACAAAAATTAGTAAAAGGCACAGATTAGAAACATAAACTAAATGTACACTGAAGATTATTACATATATATATATATATATATATATATAGCCGTTTAGTAAAATTTGAAAAAGACGCTTTGGACTGGACATTTCTGAGGTGATTTCATATCTGTCATGCTTATGAGAGCACATGTAATACAGTAATTTAATACTGCATAGTATACTATACAACGGACAGTAATTCCCCCTTTCTATCTTTCTATCTTTCATAGCATGTGAAGGATTCACATGGAGCACGAACAGCTTCAGTGCTCCTTTCCAAGTCTGTGGAACTCTGTTCCAGGGATGGATACAATCCTACACAAGTTATTCCCTCATTTATATGTACACAGCTACAGCACACATAGCCAGACATAACACATAGGACACATAACATCAGAGGACTTTACTTAATGTTCCCTAAAGGTTTTCTGAAGGTTATTCTTGAAAAACCTTAAGATAACCTTTAAGGAACATTCCCTGATGGTTCCCAGACAGTTATATTTGTAAAGTTGAAATGTCCTATGTGCTAAGATAGAAAGGGGGAATATAGTATAGTATATTATACAGTATTAAATTACTGTATTACATGTACTCTCATAAACATGACAGATAAGTGATAAGAAATATCACCTCAGAAATGTCTAGTCCAAAGCGACTTACAATTGCTATATATGTTAGAGGTTGCAACTAGGGGTTAAGTGTCTTGCTCAGGGACACATTGGTGGATGTGTCAAAGTGGGGTATTGAACCCAAGTCTCTCACACCAAAGGCATGGATCTTATTCACTGAGCTATCACAGCTCCCATTATATGTAAAGGACCACAATTTTACAAAGTTCACCGGATGTATATGTAAAAAATTCCAATCTTAAATTTGGTACTTACATGTAACATCGGAGTTACTGATCAGTGCCATAGTCATTAAGGGCAGACAGCAGGCAAACAGTTTCTACTAAGATAAAGATTAGTGTTTTTATTTCTTTCTCACACAGGTACTGAGTCAGACTGGGTTAATGGATCTGCACTACTGTTCTGTTCCTGTGCTACAGTCTAAGAAAAGAGCTAATTAATGTATTTAACCTTTACTTATCAGGGGGAAAAAAAAACGTAAATCCCAATCCCAGTCCCAGATCCATGTTCAGTGTTTTCCACTCTGCCACTTCATGAAATTTATGACCTGAGGGACTCTTTTGTTGTGCTTTAAATATCCACTTTTCCTTCAGTTTTCGGTAAATACATTCCTAAGATTGCTACTTTAATAGAAAACCTCTGATGAAGAAGGACATCATCCTAGGACATCATCTAAATTGCAGACATACAAACTGTGGTAGGTAAAGTTCCCTAAGCCATGTTTTCTGTGAATGAGACAGAGAATGAAGTCTCTTGGATCTCTGGACTTCCCCATGCTGTAAAAGTCTGTCTACTGCTGCCAGCTGCTGGATTTCAGTAATAACAAAACAGATTTCCAGGAGAAAGTTTTTTAATCATTTCACAATGCATTATGTTTTTAGTACATTATTATGCTTATCAAAATATATAATTTTCAGAAATACTTAACTGCAAAAAAATCAAACATTCCAGAGGAGATATTTCTACAAGGTGTTTATAACCTGTTATATCAGCAACTTGATAATATTAGAAATGTAAAGCATTATGTGTATTAATATTTTATTCAAAGTTGTTTTCAGTATTTTTATTTTCATTTCCACTTGTATGTGAATGACACAGAGAATTATCACCCAACTCTGCAGTTCCCCCCAACTCTACGGTGCATTAAAGCGTGTTTTGTTTCACAGGCCTCAACTTTACTGTTTTGGTTCACTCCCATTGCTCTCAGTGTTGCTTTCAGCTGCAGCAGGCAGAGAAAGTTAGCAACTATCTGGTGAACATAGTGGAGCATTAAGCAGCTAAAGAGCCAGATTTTTCCCTCAGGAGTTGGAAGAGACCAAAAACAGAACTACAAGGAGAGTAATTATTGGACAGGTGGACAGAAACATGCCTCCAAATGAATGCTAAAGTTGCTCTTTATTCGCTGGATGCATGACTAAGCAACTGTTTGCAAACAACTTCGTATGAACTTTATATGTCAATGTTGTGTTCACAGTTAATTCACATTTGAGAAGTTCTATAGCAACTGCATAGCGCCATCAAAATTTCAAATATTCCACATAAGAATGGATTCCTGCTGGACAGCTAAACATTAAACTCCAACTCACTGTGAAGGCCCATAAAGATGAAGGGAACTGCATATTCAGGTGATAATTTTCTGTAGGTTCATCACCATGAGTAACCCCTTTAATACTGACTTTGAACATTTGAGTTTGAATATTGATATAGTTGCTTTAAATATTAAATATCACATGATAGTCATTATATTAGCAAATAGGGTTTTGACATCTTACTCACGGGTGCTTTGATAGGTCACATGGCTGCTAATCTGCTCATTTTCCATCACTGGCATCCAACAAGTGAGGCGTTGTTGTTTAATGTCTGTGAGTCTCTGCCTCTCGTAGAGGCTTGAGGAGGACCTCTCTCCTGTAAGAGAAGCGGGTGAGTTTGACTGTGTAGTGCATCCTCTCCCTGCCCTGCAGCAGGCGGTAAAGAGACAGGGTGAACTTAGCCAGTGCCAGTGTGCAGGTGATCTCCACCACCAGCAGTGCGATGTAGGTCATCAACTGAGATTTGCACCGCTGAACTTTGTTTCTGTACTGATACATGAAGGAAGGTGATGGCTCCTGAATGACTGGCTCCATGGTGAAGACCACTGGAGTGGTTTGTGGAGGAGGTGTTTGGGTAGTGGTTGTTGGCATAGTTGTTGTTAAAGTAGTTGTGGGTGTTGTTATTGTGGTTGTGGGTGCAGTTGTTGTAATCATGGTTGTGGTTGTTGGTGCGGTTGTTATTATCATGGTTGTGGTTGTGGGTGCGGTTGTTGTTGTCATGGTCATGGTTGTTGGTGCAGTTGTTATTGTGGTTGTTGGTGCAGTTGTTATTATTGTGGTTGTGGGTGCAGTTGTTAATATTGTGGTCATGACTGTGGTGGCTATAGCTGTGCTCATAGTGGTTGTGGGTGTGGTTGTTGGCAGAGCCGTGGTTGTTGGTGTTGTTGTGGTTGTTGTGGCTAGTGCCGTGGTGGAGACAGTAGTGGTTGATATAGTTGTAGTTGGCAAAGAGGTTGTTGGAGTTGTGGTTGTGAGGATGGTGGTGATTGGTTCTGTGGTTGGGAGTACGGTGGTGAGCGTGGTCATTGTGGGGAGTGGAAAAGTGGTGGTTGGTGTTGTAGGAAGAGGTGTTGTTGTAGTAAGGGTGGTCGTTGCTGGTTCTGTCGTTGGGATCGTTGTGGTAGATGTGGTGATCAAGAGAGTGGTTGTGGAGGGAAGGGTGGGGCAAATAAGTTGATCCATTGTTAGTGATTGGATTTCCTGATCTTTTAGATGTTCTGGATACTCACAGACCACAGTAGACGCAATCTTTTCAGAGTTCGCCTTCATCCAGAGGTAAAGATGTACCAGGTTACAGTCACAGTTCCAAGGGTTGCCATTGAGGTAAAGTTTTTTGAGTTTTGTTAAAGGCTGAAAAATATCCTCAGGAAGCGTTTGGAGGTCATTGTGGGCTAGCTTGAGTGTTGTCAGTGACTGTAGCTTTTCAAACACACCTTCATCCAGCAAATGTATCTTGTTGTGCTGTAGATTCAGCTCCAAAAGCTTATCAGGGCCTTCAAAATACTCAGCATTCAAGGTGACAAAGTGATTTTTAGACAGATCAAGCTTCCTGAGTTTCTTCAGAGGGCCTAATATTCCTTTAGGAAGAGAGCTGAGATTATTGACTGAGGCCTAAGTCAGTGAATTTTGGCATTTCTCCAAAAAGCACTGGTGGTAGACTAGTCAGTTGATTATTAAACAGGGTCAGTGTTTTAAGCTGAGGGAAGCCAATGAAAAATTCTGGCGGTAGACCAGTCAGGAGATTACTATCCAAATACAGCTTATTTAGTTTGATTTTATGTGGAAAGAGATTCTGTGATAATTCTGTTATATTGTTTCCCTGCAACCCAATTTCCTTCAATTCTGTCAAATTCTGAAAAATCTCCTCAGGAACACTGGTCAGCTGATTCTCATAAAGCCGGAGAATCTGCAGTTTCTTTAGGTCTGAGAACCAGTCGGCAGATACAGCACAGAGATTGTTTTTAGCTAAATGGAGCAATTCAAGTTCCTCTAGACCATCAAAGGTCCCGTCTTCAATCGATTCAATCTCGTTGTCATGTAACTTGAGATGTTTTACTTTTTTAAGGCCGTCAAACAAGCCCTTCTCCAGACTACGGAGCTTGTTTAGCTTTAGTACAATAAACTCCAGGTTGCCGAGATCTTTAAAGACTCCCACTGGGATTGACGTTAATGGAGTGCTGGAGATCTCAATATGCTTGAGGTGTATCAAACCTTCAAAAGCTCCAGGCTCAATAGACGTCGTATTAGTGTTCATGAACTCCACCTTTTCAAGCTGGGGGTTTTCAACAAAGGCTTCTTTGGGGATTGTTTTGATCTGGCTGTCCACAAAGAAAACCTCTGTCACACCTGTTCTCAGGACGCGTGGGATTTCTGTCGTAGATGTACTAAAAACTTCCTGGTTGTCTTTGGGGCAGTCTGCCTCCCTTTCACATGGATTTCTTTGAGTCAGTGAAGACTCAATCAACAAAGACAGAAACAAAATGATGATTTCTCCTCTTGACATGCTTATTCACTATAAAAAGTAAAACAAATTGGATAATGAATAACTTCAAATTGAGTAGATTCAATTTAGACTTTGTATACAGTTAACAGGTATAGTTTAATATATGATTTTTCTTCTCTTTCTTGTGATAATACATAAATGCTCAAGTGTCAGGAACATTATAAAAAGTTTTACAGTGTCAAGTTCTCACTAAATCTGTGTGCTGTGCCGAAATGCCGAAATATTTCCCTACCTGATAATTTTCCGTCCCAGGATAAAACAGGTTGTTACAGCAGTGAGGACACACAAACAAGCTCAGTCTCATTACTTATCTTCTGTATCGATGTTTGCCAGCTCCCCCCTAAGTGTGTTGCAGGTCATGTGAGGGGTGGTGTAACACACTTCTGCAACTTGAGATAAGAGCAAGGACTGAACTTTTATGTTTCCGCCATTTACTGCACTGCTCTGCAGCTTGGCTTCATGATTACAAAATGAATATGTTTTTCTCCTATGCTTGTAATCATTTTGACATAATTTACAAACTTTCTGTTTTCAGTGTTCAGAATATTCTAAATTAAAGTTGTTTTCAAGACATTGTCTTCTGCCTTTACAGCATACAAAATTTGTTTTAAATTTGATAGATGATGACTCTAAGCAGTACATGCGATGTACTACGTATATAAGGTTATTCACCTAGTGCAGTAACAGATGTTTTTATAAGCTTGAATGCATCATTCATGCACATATGTTACCATACTCTAGGGTATGTAAACATGTTTTCATTGTGAAAATATGTATGTTTCCACATCAGGAAAAGCAGTAAAAAGCAAACATTTTTAAAGTGCACAATTTTCCTCCATTTCAAATGCATTCATCTCTAGTTTGTTGATTATGTTTTGTTTAACTTCCTTACTAGAACATTGTTATTGTCAGACAACAATTAGACATACATTCCAGCATACATGAACATTTGTTTTGTCTGGTATCTGTAATTGCAAGCAGAGGGACTTGTTGGATTTTAGCTAGAGGTTTCAAACATTATTCAGTAATCATGTATCACAATATCATGCTGTGCCTCCTTCCCTTCACCATGACCACTTTTAAATGTACTCAGTCTGGACTTTGTTTTGTTCTTCTGGAAATTCCACAAACTGAGTTGGCACAGTCAACATAATCACACAACACACTAGTGATTAAAAATCCTGTTATCTATTGACTATTTAGTAATCACAGTATGTTCATCATCCTGCCCATATAAATGTCTAGAAATCACTGCTTGTTTAAATAAAACAATTTCAATACTTTTGTGTGTTAATGCATTTTTGGTGCAGTTGTTATTATTGTGCTTGTGGGTGCAGTTGTTAATATTGTGGTCATGACTGTGGTGGCTATAGCTGTGCTCATAGTGGTTGTGGGCGTGGTTGTTGGTGTTGTTGTGGTTGTTGTGGCTAGTGCCGTGGTGGAGACAGTAGTGGTTGATATAGTTGTAGTTGGCAAAGAGGTTGTTGGAGTTGTGGTTGTGAGGATGGTGGTGATTGGTTCTGTGGTTGGGAGTACGGTGGTGAGCGTGGTCATTGTGGGAGGCATTATAGGGAGTGGCAAAGTGGTGGTTGGTGTTGTAGGAAGAGGTGTTGTTGTAGTAAGGGTTGTCGTTGCTGGTTCTGTCGTTGGGATCGTTGTAGTAGATGTGGTGATCAAGAGAGTGGTTGTGGAGGGAAGGGTGGGGCAAATAAGTTGATCCATTGTTAGTGATTGGATTTCCTGATCTTTTAGATGTTCTGGATACTCACAGACCACAGTAGACGCAATCTTGTCAGAGTTCGCCTTCATCCAGAGGTAAAGATGTACCAGGTTACAGTCACAGTTCCAAGGGTTGCCATTGAGGTAAAGTTTTTTGAGTTTTGTTAAAGGCTGAAAAATATCCTCAGGAAGCGTTTGGAGGTCATTGTGGGCTAGCTTGAGTGTTGTCAGTGACTGTAGCTTTTCAAACACACCTTCATCCAGCAAATGTATCTCGTTGTGCTGTAGATTCAGCTCCAAAAGCTTATCAGGGCCTTCAAAATACTCAGCATTCAAGGTGACAAAGTGATTTTTAGACAGATCAAGCTTCCTGAGTTTCTTCAGAGGGCCTAATATTCCTTTAGGAAGAGAGCTGAGATTATTTTGACTGAGGCCTAAGTCAGTGAATTTTGGCATTTCTCCAAAAAGCACTGGTGGTAGACTAGTCAGTTGATTATTAAACAGGGTCAGTGTTTTAAGCTGAGGGAAGCCAATGAAAAATTCTGGCGGTAGACCAGTCAGGAGATTACTATCCAAATACAGCTTATTTAGTTTGATTTTATGTGGAAAGAGATTCTGTGATAATTCTGTTATTTTGTTTCCCTGCAACCCAATTTCCTTCAATTCTGTCAAATTCTGAAAAATCTCCTCCGGAACACTGGTCAGCTGATTCTCATAAAGCCGGAGAATCTGCAGTTTCTTTAGGTCTGAGAACCAGTCGGCAGATACAGCACAGAGATTGTTTTTAGCTAAATGGAGCAATTCAAGTTCCTCTAGACCATCAAAGGTCCCGTCTTCAATCAATTCAATCTCGTTGATATGTAACATGAGATGTTTTACTTTTTTAAGGCCGTCAAACAAGCCCTTCTCCAGACTATGGAGCTTGTTTAGCTTTAGTACAATAAACTCCAGGTTGCCGAGGTCTTTAAAGGCTCCCACTGGGATTGACGTTAATGGAGTGCTGGAGATCTCAATATGCTTGAGGTGTATCAAACCTTCAAAAGCTCCAGGCTCAATAGACGTCGTATTAGTGTTCATGAACTCCACCTTTTCAAGCTGGGGGTTTTCAACAAAGGCTTCTTTGGGGATTGTTTTGATCTGGCTGTCCACAAAGAAAACCTCTGTCACACCTGTTCTCAGGACGCGTGGGATTTCTGTCGTAGATGTACTAAAAACTTCCTGGTTGTCTTTGGGGCAGTCTGCCTCCCTTTCACATGGATTTCTTTGAGTCAGTGAAGACTCAATCAACAAAGACAGAAACAAAATGATGATTTCTCCTCTTGACATGCTTATTCACTATAAAAAGTAAAACAAATTGGATAATGAATAACTTCAAATTGAGTAGATTCAATTTAGACTTTGTATACAGTTAACAGGTATAGTTTAATATATGATTTTTCTTCTCTTTCTTGTGATAATACATAAATGCTCAAGTGTCAGGAACATTATAAAAAGTTTTACAGTGTCAAGTTCTCACTAAATCTGTGTGCTGTGCCGAAATGCCGAAATATTTCCCTACCTGATAATTTTCCGTCCCGGGATAAAACAGGTTGTTACAGCAGTGAGGACACACAAACAAGCTCAGTCTCATTACTTATCTTCTGTATCGATGTTTGCCAGCTCCCCCCTGAGTGTGTTGCAGGTCATGTGAGGGGTGGTGTAACACACTTCTGCAACTTGAGATAAGAGCTGGACTGAGGACTGAACTTTTATGTTTCCGCCATTTACTGCACTGCTCTGCAGCTTGGCTTCATGATTACAAAATGAATATGTTTTTCTCCTATGCTTGTAATCATTTTGACATAATTTACAAACTTTCTGTTTTCAGTGTTCAGAATATTCTAAATTAAAGTTGTTTTCAAGACATTGTCTTCTGCCTTTACAGCATACAAATTTGTTTTAAATTTGATAGATGATGACTCTAAGCAGTACATGCGATGTACTACATATATTAGGTTATTCACCTAGTGCAGTAACAGATGTTTTTATAAGCTTGAATGCATCATTCATGCACATATGTTACATACTCTAGGGTATGTAAACATGTTTCATTGTGAAAATATGTATGTTTCCACATCAGGAAAAGCAGTAAAAAGCAAACATTTTTAAAGTGCACAATTTTCCTCCATTTCAAATGCATTCATCTCTAGTTTGTTGATTATGTTTTGTTTAACTTCCTTACTAGAACATTGTTATTGTCAGACAACAATTAGACATACATTCCAGCATACATGAACATTTGTTTTGTCTGGCATCTGTAATTGCAAGCAGAGGGACTTGTTGGATTTTAGCTAGAGGTTTCAAACATTATTCAGTAATCATGTATCACAATATCATGCTGTGCCTCCTTCCCTTCACCATGACCACTTTTAAATGTACTCAGTCTGGACTTTGTTTTGTTCTTCTGGAAATTCCACAAACTGAGTTGGCACAGTCAACATAATCACACAACACACTAGTGATTAAAAATCCTGTTATCTGTTGACTATTTAGTAATCACAGTATTTTCATCATCCTGCCCATATAAATGTCTAGAAATCACTGCTTGTTTAAATAAAACAATGTCAATACTTTTGTGTGTTAATGCATTTTTGGTGCAGTTGTTAATATTGTGGTCATGACTGTGGTGGCTATAGCTGTGCTCATAGTGGTTGTGGGGGTGGTTGTTGGCAGAGCCGTGGTTGTTGGTGTTGTTGTGGTTGTTGTGGCTAGTGCCGTGGTGGAGACAGTAGTGGTTGATATAGTTGTAGTTGGCAAAGAGGTTGTTGGAGTTGTGGTTGTGAGGATGGTGGTGATTGGTTCTGTGGTTGGGAGTATAGTGGTGAGCGTGGTCATTGTGGGTCATTTAGTAATCACAGTATGTTCATCATCCTGCCCATATAAATGTCTAGAAATCACTGCTTGTTTAAATAAAACAATGTCAATACTTTTGTGTGTTAATGCACTTTTTTCCTTTTCGTCTAAGGTACAATACAGTGTCTTAGTGTACTTACTATTTTCATAACTTAACATTTATTTATTTCTTTGAGTAATTTCCTTCTCACAAGCATTTAAGTGGAGTTTTATCCTCCTCTACACTCCTGTGTGTGTAGATAAAGGATAAATTCAAGGAAGAGAAGCTTGCATGTAATACCACTTAGTTCTGTAAATGATTAACACAATGTAAGATAGCTCCCACTTAAAGAAGTGCATTTATTTAATTTATAGTAGCATTTTGCGTTGTAAGTGTGGAAACTATAAAATGAATTGTGTTACAGTGCAGTCAAAGTGACATGTTTAATTTAACACAGCCATTTAGCAAAAAGGTCAAACTGTTATTAGTACAGAAAACCATTGTCAAACTGCAATTATTAGTACTGAAAAATGGTAATAGTTTGAAGTAAATACTGAATGCAGTCTTGAGTTTACTAAAAGAAGTACACTTCTTCAGTGCATCTGAGGTTACAGCCAACAAAATGTCCAGGTTTCCCACAAGATGGCAAGGTGGGTGTTTTTTACAGTTAGTACATAAAATGGCCGTTCTCTTTTCACATGCCACAGGAAAGGAATGCCGACTGGTACATTTGATCATGAAAAATTAAACGCCAATGAAGAAGTTGGCTTGTTTGTTCTAGCTTGTACATCTGAATAAAGATGAAGTGGTTATTTCTGTTGCCTTTGAGGTTCTAAAATCAACTCTAGACTCCACTTTTTCCGAGTAAACCACAGTGAGCAGTTTCCCTTGGGTTTAAAAGTTTTTGGGTTGCGATGTTGGATGGTCTAGTCTACAGCACAGAGTTTTTATTTCGGACGCCTATATTTCCGCTGCCTCTCCTGTTCTTCCTCCAGCACCCGAAGCTGATGATGACAGTGCTGATGATGACAGTGGACACTACTGCAATGGCAATGAGGATGATCGAAGTATTATTAGAAACCGTTCCATTCTCCTCTTGTCCGCCGTTGATCTCGTCCTGCTCTGAGGTGAGGGTTGTCTTCACAGCAGGTGAGGATGTGCTTCGTCTTGTTGGAGGGGTATGGGGTTTCCTCCTCTTTACTGTTGAGGTCAACACAGGCTCCTCAGTAGAGCTGAGAGGCATCAAGTTCTCATCTGTCAGCAGAGCAATTACCTCACCGTTCAGTGGTGTTTCACAGACCACAAGAGTTTGGTTGGCCTTGGATGGATGCTGTTTCAGCCAGTCCCTAAGTGGCAGAATATCCTTGTCACACCTCCAGGGGTTCTGCTGCAGGAGTACTTCCTTTGCTGCAGTGAGGTCATCTAGAGTCTCCTGTGGCAGGTTGGTAAAGGAGTTATTTTGCAGGTCTATTTGTCCCAAGTGTCTTAGGCCCTGGACAAAGCCCAAAGGGAGAGAGCTGATGAAGTTGTGTTCCAAGGAAATGTTGACCAGACTGGGCAAACCTTTGAAAGTCCCAGCTTCCAGTGTTTTGAGCAGATTGGTGTGAAGTGATATCTCTCCCAGCTGTTCCAACCCTCTAAAGGCCCCAGAGGATACATAGTTGATCTGGTTGCGACTGAGCACCAGGAGATGCAATTGAGTCAGGTTCCTGAATGTGTCATCCTCCAGGTGGCTCAGCTTGTTGTCATACAGCCACAACTCCTGCAATGCCATGGGCCCAAACACCCCTGGTCGCAGACTCTCCAGCTGATTTTCATACAGGGAGATCTGGGAAAGGAGGGGCAGGTTTAAGAAGACCCCTTGTGGAAGAGATGTGAGTCTGTTGTGGGAGAGGAAAAGCTTTTGGAGTTTTAAAGTCTTGGAGAACAAGTCATGGTGGAGATGAGTGATTAGATTATCATGTAGGGATAGTTCCTCCAGGTTTACAAGGTCATCCAAACTGCCAATGGGGAGTTCCTGTAATGAGTTTTTGTTAAGCCGTAAGGTTTTCAGCTTGGAAAGACCTTTGAATGTCTCTCTAGGTAATTTACTGATATTGTTTCCAGAAAGGAAAAGGTACTGCAGTTCAGCAAGAGCGTGAAAAGTTTCCACAGGTACAGAAGTGAAAAGATTCTTACTAAGATCAAGGAGTTTGAGATCTGTCAACCGGGAAAACCAGTTAGGGCGGAGTACCAGGAGATTGTTGCTCTTCAGATTCAGAGACTCAAGCTTCTGAAGATTTTGGAACAAGGTCTCAGGGAGATCTTGCAGTTTGGTGCCAGCAAACCCTAAGGCACCTATGTTCGGAGTGGAATCAAGTGTGCCAGTGCGCACTTCCCTCAGATCAGTGTCTTTAATCACAAAGATGCCAAGGGCATTAGAGAAATTGGTCAGGTCCTCTGGTTTTAGAAAGCTGATACTACAATTGGAGAAGTATAGTGCGGTGGTAGATGAGGGCACAGTTGTGGGGAAGTCTGAGAGGCCACTGCACAAGATTCTGGTTTCTTGACATTTGCATCCATCGGGACACGCCCAAACAACAGCATTGAGAGAAAAGAGAAGTAGGAGCACATGAAGGGTGAGGTGCAGGTCCATTATTGCACTAGAACAGAAAAAAAGTTACAGTCAGCATTAGTTATGAATCTTGGATTTACATGAATGACTAAGTGGTTTCTGAACATGCCATGCATTATATAATAAATTTTATTTGTATTTTATAGGACACTCCTTACTGGGAGTGCTTTCACTAAGCGTGAGTGAAAGTTTTTTTTAACATCCTCTGTGGCTCTGGAGGACTGGAGTCAGGTCAACACTCAAATTTCATTACTTGAATAATTTTGGGTGTGAAGTCTGCCAGTTTCATGGATATGCAATACTAAATCACTAGAGTAACCCTTTAGGTCAGTGCTGAGCTTTGCATAGGTTGATGCCTACCTCTGTCTAAAAGCTGACTGCCCATAGGACTCACCAAAAATACCACGAAGGTGTCAAGAGCACAAAGAAATAGCGATAAAACACTCAACTTTATCACAAAACATAGATGTTTTTAGCTCAAAAAAGTAATTCCTTTTTTAAATTATTGCTGACTTTTTTTGCACATGAAGGAAAACCTAACTGCTACACTGTAAATATTAATTAAAACCACAGGGAGAATTTTTGCTCTCTCTCTCTCTCTCTCCAGACTGTGGTCTGGTTTTTCTCCTCTCACTGAAAGAACAGCCACTAAGGCAATTCTCTGCACTCAAAATCACCAGCGTAATAAGGCAGTTATACTGAAGGCCACTGTAATTAGTAACAATCCCTACATGTTGCAGCCTCAGCATTCTTATTTTAACCAGAAAGAATACATTTGCATAAATTGATCCAGTGTTGTCTGTTGCCCGTAAGCATTGTCAACAGGATTGGCTGATAAATCACCATGCTTAGCAGCCTTTTGGCATAACGTTGGAGCTCACATATGCTTCAGAAGTTTGCTGTAGAATGTTTTTAGAAGTAAAGCATGTCCTTGTTGAATATAGACATGGTGTTTGGTTTGTTCTCACAAAATGATTTCTGTGTTGTGTCTACAGTACATCTCAACATGACAGATGCACATGTTTGAGGCTGTGGTGCAGTCTGTGCTCACTATTTGTAATGGCACTGGAGGCTCCAAACACATAGCTGTGCCAACATAATGACCTGCTTCTCCATACAAATCCATTTAAAGTTCTGCAACTTAAGGTTGGCAAGTGTGAGTTGTTTCTCAGTGGCCGAGGTGTATTAGGGTGCAGAAAGAGTCTTTCTGGAGGAAGTAAGTTTGTAAAGAGACCAGTATGTCCTCAAATGAGCTCTGCCACAGTTTCTTTCTTTCGTTCATTCGTTCATTCGTTCATTCTTTCTTTCTTTCTTTCTTTCTTGTCTTTTACACATCAAAGATAAAACGTCATAAAATACATCCAAGGACATCACAGTTGTTCCCATTTTTGACATGAGCACATTTCGTTCTCATGTCTGCTTTCACTTGTGCTTTGAAGGCATGGGGTGCTAGGTCCCTGCTCTGAGAGGAAAAGTAATGTTTCCATTGTTAATAAAACACTATTACTGTGCTATTTCAAAACGCATTACTTTTTCTTCCTATTTTTGCGAACTAGGTTTTGCGGGGCAACAACCACTTTTGTCACTTTTTCTGCTTTCAATTTGTCAAGTCAGGGGTGTATTTCTGAGTACACAAGACAACTAATGGTCAGATATACATTGAGTAATATATTATCTGAAAATAGTTCCCCTTCCCCTGTATGTGTTGTAGTGGAAAACATTACTACATTACACTAACACTGTCAGCAAAAATGGATTCAAGCAGCAGGCATCACTGCTTCTTGACACAAATTATATGAGAACTTTTGTGACTCCTCACAAGTATGAATTTAATAATGTCCCTGTTTGAATAAAACCACGTTTCCTCTCTGGTGGATATTATATCATTGCAGTCCTACCAAAACCACCGTCTGCTCTCGACTGGGACATCCTGGAATGGTTTGCAGTACAGTATAATGGCTAAAGCATTTCCATTTCATCATTAATTGCTTTGATCAAAATCAAGGGTTGAATTATGTACAGAAGGTTGTATTTTTAAGAATTAAGTACCCTACACATTCCTATTGCTGTTATAGTGTATTTTATCATTATCATTATTTTATTTTGGTTCTGATTAATTCCATTATTCAATCATCCTGCGTATATCCTTGAAAAGTATATCACAAGTAAGCCGTCAGCCATCGCTCTGTTATCCAGGACAGCAAAACTTACCTCCCGTAGTAGCTGGTGATGGAGTGAACACAGAATCGGTGTGGTTATCTTTTATGTACGTCCTCCCTTCCTCCTCGGCTTTACAAATCCTCTGCTGAAAGTTTCCAGCACTGTCTGAACTCTCACACCATCACATTTTCCTGCTCTTAGTCATCACTCGATTCCCTTTCCCAATCAGTTTTTTTTCCTTTCCCCTGAGCTCATGAAATCTGTAGCTTTTTATGAGGCTTCAGTGGCGTTGTTCAGCGACCCAGCTGTCTCCCTGCCCCCTCTGTTCCTCTCACACACTCACATTGTTTTGCTAAATGTGGTGGTGGGGGATCAAGCCCTCTGCTGATTAGTGTTTGTGCTTGTTTGAATGCACGTAAGGGGATGCGTGAGCTTCATCTTAGGGGTTCCGTCTGTTTTCAACAAACATGTCTTCTTTTTTTATCTTCGTCCCAAGAAAAAGAAGTATATTTGTGTTGGAGTGGAATTTGGTTTGGTTAAAGACAGTGGAGTTGGTTTTGTGTTTTTGTTTGTGACATTGTGTTGTGAGTATGTGCCTTCTTGTTTGGGTGTGAACATTTAAGTATCAGCTGTACATATCTTTGGCATGACGTCCGCGGCATGCTTGTGAGCCGATGGTTTGGGCACTTGGCAGTCTTAGACATTCATGACTGATTACTGATTGGAAGATGGTCCAAAAAACAACCAAACAACCTGCAAACATCTGTTCAGTGTTGCAGAAATGTTCTACTCAGTAAGCTTAATGCCATTATAAACACCTGTGCAGGCATCTTTAGTACATTTGTCTTTTAGAATTGTTTGATTCTGGATGGAATTATGTGATGAGGCTTTCCCTACTGTTGCAGAGAGGTTCTGTTTCTGTGCATGTAAAGTACATGTATGTATGAGATGGACTGAATCATAAATATCCAGATTGTGCCCCAACTAATGTACGTATTCAAGTAGTATAATATATAAATAATAAACCATTGCATTACAATTGTTCTTTGTTTGAGTTTGAGTGTTCGGTTTTTATCATGCAAAGTCAGTGTAATTTAGTTTTGATGCTAAAATGTGGTATGTTCTTTATTAAGTGAAAAAAGCGTGAGCAGCAGGCATTGTGCAGATTTTAACATTCCTGCCTTACTGTAAGTAAATCCATCTGTTTTGTTATATGGCAAACTCCCTCTTCACCACAGAAAACAGATAGTGAGGGTGGAGTTAACGTATAGTCTGTTGCTGCAGCTCACAAAACTCACACTGGAAACATGGTGTTTTTATGATATTGAATATCTGATCTGTAAAATAGACTAGATTATGTATAAAAGATAAAGTAATGTTTCTGGTCATACCAGTGTTTTGCAACTGACTGCCAACAGCCACAGTCAACTGTCAAAACCATCATGAAGTCTATTTTATCTTTCAGTTTTCACACATTATTCACTGTATTGCAAGCAAACATTTCCCCCCTCTATCCCATAATGTTTATTTGTTAGTTATTTGTCCACACTGGGCCATAACACCACTGATGAACTGCACATACTTTAACAGACTAGGTAAGTTCAGAGTTACTGTTGGGTTGTGAGCACGTCAGACATTTTATTAGACAGTTAGAGAGTTAAGGATATCAGTCATATACAGCTACCTATGACTCATGTATGACATGTATGTGTATAGTTGTTGAAATAGTTGTTCCTGCTAGTCTGAGGAGCGGGAGCTTGTGAACACATTAGCCTGTGAAAATTTTGCTAATTAATTTTAAGTAAAATCAGGTATGTCTCACAGTCTTCTTACTAAGAATAATAATAAAAAATAGTTCATATTGCATTCGAGTGAGGTCAAAAGGTCAGGAGTGAGATGAAGACAGTAGTTTCCAGTATATACATTACTTTATTTCTCCCAGTTTCACTAAAAAATTGACAAATGACCATGGTGGATACTACTTTTTCCTTATCTAGTACATAAGAACTTTTTAGAGTTTAGAGTCTCCGCTCTCATAATTCGTATGTACTTATACATTCTTTACATTTGAGTAGCTTTTGAATAGATAAAAATGACCAAATTTGCTCTTGGTGTGTTAAAATTAGATAGACAATAGTCACAGATTGAAGGCTGTAATGGCACTACACTGATGGGCTTATAAAAACAAAAGTGTGAGTAACAGTTACTGCCTCAAACTAAGTAATTAAATGTATATATTTATATATTAAATTTATATTTTATATGTTAAACTAAATGTATTTTCCCCCCTAAAGATTTGTATAATTACATGGCTAAATCAGGCATGGCTAAACTCATAACTCAGCTTTATGACAAAACAGCCCCATTTAGTTAGACCAATTGCAGACCAATCCCATTACAATGATGTAGCTGTCTTGGGCAAAATGTTTGGCCAAAACTTTGTTTGTCAAAATGCTGTCTACAGTAAATTATTAGATTTAAGAGGATTATCGCTTCATCCTGCAAACAAGTGTTACAAATGTGCTCTGGAAAATAATAATGGTTGGATAAGAGTGATGTTTTCCACTGTGGTTGAATATTCCTTGTGACGCCTGCATTAGGATTTCCTCTCCCCATGCTCACCCTTTCTCTCATCGTCTGTGTGTGTGTGTGTGTGTGTGTGTGTGTGTGTGTGTGTGTGTGTGTGTGTGTGTGTGTGGGGGAGTGGAGTGTGTATGCTCACTGTTGTGTGAGCTCAGCGTACTGGAAGGGCTAATCACCCGTTGCCATAGTAATGAACTTGGGTGCTGTTCACCAATTCATCCTCTTTTGTTTGCTGTTCATTTTAAAAGTCCAATCACTTCTCGTGGAATTTGTGGCATCCGCTGTCATTTTGTGAAGGTTTAAAAGCTTTGAATTGAACATTCTCCGTTGTTTTGCCTCCACAACAACGTTAAATGGCATCATTAGTTCAGTGTGTAATTATCAACACAACTGGTTAAACATGTAACTTTAGTTGTTTTAGCTTTATTGATAATGCTCTCAAAAGTTCTTGTGCTAAAACAGATGTATAAAAATTCTAGGATTAAAATTAAAGAGCTACCATCTTTTTGAGACTATATTGTAAGTTATGTTGCAAGTGATCTTGGACCACTTCAAAAACAGGAATAGAAACACTGTGTATGTTGGTTTTGTTTCATAATGTCTTGTGAAATTACAGGGGCAGTGTTTTGCAAAAAAAAGAGTCATCTCAACCAGCATTTTGCTGTCTGACCAAAATAAATCTGTACAATGACTGGGCTGGAGTTTCCTGTTTTGAATGCTGTTGGGAGATTATGGCGGAATGTTCCCAGTATCCAAGATGTGATTCATTTTGGGAAAGCACATTTCTCCCTCATTCCCGTTTAAGGGGGAGGTGAAATCCACTTAAGAACCTAAGAAAAGAGATATTTACAGGAGCACTTGTCCCAAATATGACTGGTGCCCTGGCACTGCTTTGTGGAACAACACCTCACAATATGCGTAGACATGGGTTTATTAGTGTGTATTTTCAGTGTGACCATAGGAGTAGGCCAGAAAATACACTACAGTGCTGGACCAAGCTAAATAAAAGTACGATTTCTTAAATATACTTTAATAACTTTTAATATTACTGGTTTGAAGATAATGTTGACGTAGAGAGAAGTAAAGAATAAGACAAACAGATTTAGATATTCCTGACTGTATGACCCATTAACCATCTTCATTATGATTGTGATACTGTAGGTCTTGGTTCTCATTATTACACTGTAACATGTCAGATGCAAACAGATAACAGATGTAAAAAGAAAAAAAAACCAACACGCCTAATTACTAATGGGAGAGGCAGGAAAAACATCATCGTGACATGGCAATTTTACATGTCTCAGCTGCATGAAACTACAAACAAGCATTTCATATCTGGGGGGGAAAAGGAAAAAAGGCATTCACACATAATACAATTTATTCAGAAATCAATTGACTGATTACTCAAAAGATACAGAGTAAACAATGTTTTTAAGCTGTGATGTCGCCTCTTCATGCAGTTTGAATCTTTCACCACTAGAGAGAAACAGATCACTTGTGATTACTATTGTTCTGCTGTTGCTTGGTTTTGCTTCAAACAGCTTAACTGTGTAGGCTTTGCTGTCATGATGGAAGAACAGAAAAATAAAAAATCTTACACATACTGTTAGACTTTACTGTGAATAACAATTGGAATGCAACCAGAAGACAATGAGATAGCAGAGACAGAAGTTTTATTTCCTAGGTTTACTGAAAAATTGTTATTTTCCGAATTGATCAATCTGCTAAATGATTTCCTGATCAATAGAATAATTGTTTGGTCCATAAAAAATGAATAAGTAGTTAAAAACTCCAAAATACAAAGATTTACTGCTGTATAAGAAGAAAGAAAGCTGGAGCAAGTAAATATTTGGCATTTTTGCTGTTCAGTTCTCAAAATGGTTGCTGATTTATTGTTTCCCCCCAATTGACTAACTGAATAATCAACCAATTCTTACAGTCCTGCATACATTATATAATGTCATGAATTGATAATATTTTTTGACTGACATCAGCATAGCTCTGTTTTTTAAGCTTACATGCTGTTATTGTGTACTGTACTTATATAATCTAAAATACTACTAGCTTACAGTAACCTTTTGCTATCTTAAAATACATTCTACTTTAATGTTGCCACAGTATTTTAAATCTATCTGACTGTCCTAAAGTAACACTTGAAGATGATCGTTTATAAACTGCAACCTCGAGAAATGGACAGTTTACCTTGGCATCTTGTGCACCAGGCCTGATGACACGTTTTGTTATCCTGTATTATGCACATGCTCAGCCTTTAGCTCATCCATGGTCTTGCTGAGGCGATACATGCTATACATGGCAGCAACAATAAGGAACAAACCTGCGGCCACAAGGAGGATGTGGCTAAACATGAGGAGCCCAGCCAAGGTCGTGTCCGAGGGCAGAAACCACACATACACCCAGCCCCTGTGAAGGTTGTGGTGAACAAACTCGGGCCCCTGTTCAATCACCAATGTGTCATAGAACGGAGGTGACATGTATAATGTTGAGGGAGTCTCAATAGCGAGAAGGAACTCTTTGTCAGGTGGGGTGGTGGTGGGAGTTTGGAGAGATGTTGATAGGATCTTGGTGTGTAAGGCAGGTGGTTTTGTAGTTGGAGTGGTTGTTGGGATGATGACTTGTTGGGTAGCTCCTTGAGTGGTGGTTGATGTTGCTGTGGGTGGTATGGTTGTTGAAGCTACAACCGATGTAGGAAAATAACTGTTGACCGTTGTAGCATCACAAAAGTTGAACTCCTCTTCACGCAATGAGCCAATGGTACGGAGCAGTTGGTACTTTGGACTATGACATAGCGCATCATCTCTGTCAAGAACCACATGCTCATTGTATCGTATCCATTTTGCAATACCTGTGATACTACAAGTACAGTCCCAGGGGTTGCCACTCAGAGTAAGAGATCTCAAACGTGTATTTGACAAGAAACTATCTCCTGGGAGATTCTTGAGGTGGTTATTCTTCAAATCAATTGAGAAAAGCTCTCCAAGGCCCTGAAAGATGTTTTCTGCTAGGCTCTCAAGCTTATTGTTATTAAGAATCAATATGGTCAGTGTGGTTAGTTTGGAGAACAACTGAGGGTGTAGATAACGGAGGTCGTTGAATTTCAAGGAGAGCTTCTTAAGGTTGGGAAGGCAGCAGAAGAGGTCTGAAGGCATCTCATTCAGCTTGTCATTTAAATGGAAGTTAAGGCTCAGGAGTCCAGACATGTTAGCGAACAAATTTCCAGGCACAGTGGTGAGGTTAGTGCCATAAAGATAGAAATCTCTCATGTCAGGCATTTGACCCATTAGCTGGTCCGGTAGAGATAACAGCGGGTTGTTGTAAATAGTAAGCTTGGTCAGCTTGGGCATGTGGTAGAAGCTCTTTTCTGGGATAGCCTGAAGTCGGTTGGAGGACAGGGTGAGGATCTTCAGGTTCCTCAGTGACCAGAACACCTGAGGTGGAAGGCTCTTAATCTGGTTATGGTGTATTTTTAGCTCCTCAAGGTTTACAAGTCCATCAAAAATCCCAGCTTCTAGCACCTCTAGCTCGTTGTTATACATCAAGAGTTGGCGAAGTTTAGTCAAAGAGCGAAAGATGGTAGATGGAAGCTTCTTTATGGAGTTCCTGCCAAGGTTCAGAAAGTTGAGGTTGGTCAGTCCATTGAAAACATCTGAAGCAGGACTACTCAGTTTGTTCCTGCTAAGGTCCAGAATCAGAAACTCGACAAGCCCTTTAAACATATCCAAACCTATGGTCTCCAACTGGTTCCCATTTAAATGCAGCTCCTCCAGAGTGGTCAGTGGACTGAAAACCCGAGCAGGAAGGGTAGAGAGATCATTGGATGACAGTTTTACAGACTTGAGCTGGGGAGCAGTGTGGAAGGCCCTGGGATGGATGGTGTGTAGATGGCTGTGTGTCAGACTGACACGCAACAGGAGGTCCAAGTTTGCCAAGCTCTGCTCATTTATGACGTTCATGTTTGTATCATTCAACTGCAGCTGGTACGTATGAACAGGCAGTGGCTTTGGTATATCTGTGATGGTGTGGCCAACACACATGACAGCACCCTTAGAAGTACACACGCAGCTGCCTGGGCAGGACATGTTGTAGGTGAGGTGTGGCAATGTGAAGAGGAAGAGTATCATCCACAAAGTGCCTGCACATATAAAATAAAGACACATGAGATTAAATCTAAATACCTCTCATTAATATCACCCCAAATAACAGTGTGATCACTGTTTATCCAAAAGGCCACTTGAATTATTGAAGTCAGTTTTTAATGCAAATCTTGAATTCTGTTCTTGACATAGTTCTTAAAGAATAATTAAATATATATGATTTCTAAACAGAAAATAAATAATTTACAATAAATAGACCAAACCTGACTTGAAAAAAAACAAAACAAGTTAAACATTCTACCAACCTCTGAAGTATGAATCCATCATTGTCATGATTATGTTGCTGTGCTCTGTGCTCTGTTCTTCTTTTCTCTCGAGAGCTATCTTGAAGAGCTGGGCACTGTGTCTATCAATATATCCTGCCCTCTGCTCCATCAAAATGCCTGCCCAAAAGTCATCTCTTACACTACCCGTGGTAGAATTTATATTCAGATCCTTTACATAAGTAAAGCTATTAATTCCACAATGTCAAAAGTCTCCACAACAAGAAAAAGTTCTGCTTTCAATTTCAAAACCTTACTTAAGTAAAAGTTAGTAATATTAACAAAATTAAAGTTTGAAAAGTAAAGGTACTCATTCTGCAGAAAATAATAGTCCCTGTTTTACTATTTTACATGATGTTTTTGGATTAATATTACTGCTGCATTAATGTGTATGTTGCATTTTACTGCTGTAGATGCTTAAGGCTGTGCTAACTTCAACTACCTTATACAGTATACTATTGGGTTTTATTGGGTAACTTATTAATCTACAGCAGTGCATCATATTCTGTGACATCAGATGTTTGTAGTGTTGCTGTCCTGTGAGAACCAGCCATCCCTAAAATTAACTTTTCATGAGCTCAGAAAACAGCCCTCTTTTCAGCTTTGTGGCGATGCATTTTCAAGTACCTTAAATTTACAGTACATGTACATTCCACCACTGCACACTACACAGCCTTCATTTTTCCCACACATTGCCCCACCTACTGTGGTCTTCCAAATATGTTGATACTGGAATTACTTATTTCATTAGGCTTACTCTTCTGCTGGGCCCATTCGTTGGACTTATTTTACTGGATGTTTTTATGTTGAAATTTCTAAATTGATAGTGGACCCATTGCAATCTTATTATAGGATTATTATCCCTTTTTTTTCTTGTGTGTGCTTTTACTAACATCTTTGGATTTCATTTCACGTGGTTTCTACTGTTTCATTTTAATTTTTTGGGGGGAGTTTTTAGTTCTCATCTCCGGCTGCCTTTGACATAATAAAAACTCTACTTGACACAATGCTATATGTTTTACTACTATCATATGAGTAATACAGAGGATGCTGGTTCATTTCCTGGTGACTTATCTTGACAGGATGGTCTGACCCCATCCTGCACTCCAGTTTTTGGACTGAAAGGAAACAGATAACATTAATTTCTGTATCAAGTCAGTTTGGGTATTTTGTGTCTGATGCCTGTGGTGTGACAAAACAACATAGGGGTAAAGAAATGAAACTCCTAAAGATGACACTTTGTTTCAGATTTGAATAGATTTGACAACTAGCACTTCCTCGCCTCTCAACATTGCATGACTGTAAGACAGAGAGAGAAAGAAACTGTTCTACTTTGTGATTCAATTGGCCTCTCACTAACAGTCATAGTTAAACTGAATACCAGACAGTGATGATGTGCTGCTTTGTTACTCCAGCTTTACAAAAAAGCCTAGTCATGATGTTTGTCCAAACATTAAAGATGCATGATGCATGTTGAGTCAGCTTGCAACCCCTTGGATTTAGGGATAAAGTAATGTCAGCAATGTGCAAAACAAAACTGAATTTTTAACTTAAATTGGAGTAAATTACAAGTGATTGCTGGTTCATTTTATTAAGTTTTTGTCTTTTTAAGTTTTCTGTCTCTTCACTTGCCAGGAAAATAGATCACATTTCTCCTGTCTTAGCTTCTCTGCATTGGCTTCCAGAATAGAATAATAATAATTAAATAATTAAAATCATTCTTCTCACATACAAAGCTCTTAATGGTCAGGCACCATCTTATCTTAAAGAGCTCATAGTACCTTACTACCCCCACCAGAGCACTGCGCTCCCAGATTGCAGGGTTACTTGTGGTTCCTAGAGTCTCCAAAAGTAGAATGGGAGCCAGAGCGTTAATCTATCAAGCTCCTCTCCAGTGGAACCAGGTTCCAGTTTGGGTTCAGGAGGTAGACACCATCTCCACATTTAAGAGTAGGCTTAAGACTTTCCTCTTTGATAAAGCTTAGGGCTGGCTCAGGTGAGTCCTGAACCATCCCTTAGTTATGCTGCTATTTCCCATGATGCACTGAGGTCCTCTCTCCTCTACTTTCTCTCCCTCTGTATGCAACCTCATCCCATTATTGCATGTTACTAACACAACTTCTCCCCTTTCCGGTAGTCTTGTGCTTTCTCGTCTCTCTCCTCTCTCCTCCTGTCACTTCCTGCAGGTGTTTCTGGCTCTGGAGCAGTGGAGTCTGGATCTGTGGTTGCGGGTCACCTGCTGCCCCCGTGTTCCTGCTCGACACCCTCTGCTACAACAACTATTGTTACTAGTCCTATTGTTATTATTGTTATTATAAACATTAACATTACGATTATTATCATTAACACTACTATAAATATCTGTACCATTTTTTATTTAGTCTATAGCAACATCACCTTTACTGTCTGTACCTCTGTGTGTATATTGTGTAGGCTGCCTCCCTCCTCTCTCTCTCTGTCTCTGTCTCTCTGTCTCTCTGTCTCTGTCTCTCTGTCTCTCCCTCCTCTCTCTCTCTATTTCTCTCTCTCTCTCTCTCTCCTGCCAGCCCTCTCTGTCCCTCCCTCCCTCTTCCTCTCTCTCTATATCTCTCTCCTTCACCCCCAACCGGTCGAGGCAGATGGCCGCCTACCCTGAGCCATGGTTCTGCTCGAGGTTTCTGCCTCTTAAAATGAAGTTTTTCCTTGCCTCTGTCGTCTAGTGCTTGCTCTTGGTGGGAATTGTTGGGCTTCTGTAAATAGCATCATAGAGTATGGTCTAGACCTGCTCTTTTATGAAAAGCGCTGTGAGATAACTGTTGTTGTGATTTAGCACTATATAAATAAAATTGAATTGAATTGAATTAATTTGAATTATCTTAGACCATAAGAGCAGATACAGTGCCAAAACAAATAAACTATAAGTGTTCATGAAAAAATTATTAATAATACTGAATGATTGAAAAATACAAAGTGGTAACAGAAAAGTTACCACCACAGAACAATCTATTGCGCCATGGAATTAGTTATTTGCTTCTTTCCCTTAAATTTTTTATATAAAAAAAGAAAAGTTTGGACATTTGAAATGCAAATGACTCACCCAAAAGTATCAAAGTGAGAGTCGACACTTTCTTTGATGCTGCTGTGATGGGCAGCTCAGCGTCACGCTCAGACTGGTTTCCCTGAAACCTCATGTGTTCACCGTGCTCTGCATGAGTCAGATATATTCACAACACCTCTCCCATTATTTAGACCAAGCCTGTAACTCAGCTGTGTCACCCTCCTCCAAAAGATCCAAACAAACTTCACTGTGCAGTAATTCACCTGTCACCGCAGATCAGCACCATGTGCCACATTCTTTCACTTGGTAACTTCTATGCAGGAAAGTAACAGAAAAGTAATGCAAAAAAAATTCAAACCTCTAAAAAATGACATATTCACATTATTATTTTATTTATTTTGTAAAATGAACAGAAGTGCATTCCTAAAAGCGGTGACAGATGAAATGTTATTTGGCATTTGAACAAAAAAATGTTATGCCGAATTCTGCCACAAGAGAGCGACATAAACACAAGCAGTAGGCAAATAAAATCCCTGCTAAAAGAATGACGTATCTTTGCAGTCAAGTACATTTCGTCATGTCTGACCCTCAAGTATTTCCAGTGAGTAGCTGCTTATTTACAGATTAAAGATGTACAGCCGCATTCCTTAGATCTCTCATGAGAGCACCTGGGTGCATTGGAAATCAAAGATTTATTGGTGACTTTGTGGTTTATGGTACAACACTATATTGCTAGGATAAATACAGTGTAATTATATTACTGGTGTTTTGAGACTTAAGGCTATGTTGGGCTTTGCAGCAAGATTTCACAGCGGTCCTCCCCCTCTTGCATCCATGTCAGACACAGTACTTCCAGAAGCAAGCTGCAGATGGAAAGAGATAAAGACTTGTAGAATTACATTGTTCATGCAGAATATTAATACTTTAATGCTTGTAATTAAATACAAACATTAACCAGTTTGTAAGATGCACATTAAATCAGAAGTACTGAATTTAACTTACGTTCACCCCTCTTCCTAGTTATGGATTTGCCTTCTGCCAAATTGGCTGTGATCTCCCTCTCCAGCTCCAGGTCCTCCTTCAGCGCCTGAAGCTACAAACAGAGATCAGACTTATTAAACACACCAAGACAGGTAGCTGTCCTCTCAGTATCAGTACACCATCTGTTTTCATTCAGAACCTCCTGTCTACTTACAGTTGATTCACATTTGTTTTAATAAATTGCAATAAGATGCCTACATTCCGCCATATATTTCACCTGTAATAAATCATGATTTTCTGCCTAACACACATTTCCCCCAAAGTTGCTTCAAGGTGAATCTGTAAATATCCTTACCTCCTCTAATTCAGCTAGTTTATTGGCCAGCTCAAGACCTGCAGATGGGAAAACCGTCACCGTCACAGCAAGAATGCGATTGAGTGAGTGATATTAGTTTCACCATTTTATTTTATGTCTCACCTAGAGGATCATCCTTTTCCACAGGAACTAAGCTCTTGTGTAGTAACAGTGCCAGAATCTTGCTCTGGGCATCTGTGTCTTCTTTTGGATTAAAAACATGGTTTCCTGCATATGCAAAATAAATCAAAAACGCAACTTTAAGCACCATGAATATAACAAAACAGAAACAGAAAGTGAACTTACATCCATCTCACGTCATAGTCAGGCATCATCTCTTGACCAACTGAACCATTAGACTAACAGTGGCTCCAATTTAAGGGGTGCAGTAGTTGCGTCCTCAGCAGCATTTTCATTGTATAAAGATCTAAAACATGCACTTTTTGCACACCTACCTGGGTTAAATATGCTCCTTCCCTCCACATCTAGCACTCCCTGCAGTAGTAGCAAACCCAGGAGTCCTAAGCAGTAGTTCACAACTGTAACCCTATCCATAGTATTCATTGTTTGGTCCCAAACTAATGCCGCACACTGAGCACTCCCTCAAGCAAGGCAAGAGATCCACTGCCATGGGTCCATCCTGTCAATATATTTATCCTTTCAGGGGCCAGGAGGAGGGGCCAGTCCGTCCCTTGCGTACTAAATCAATAGCTAGTCATTGTGGATTTCATCAATAGGCCACCTTTCCACAGGGACCATGGAGTGTCTGAGTGAAATACGGTGATCTGATGTTGTAGGCGAGGCCAGTAACCCTACATCACTCTGACATGGGCAAATCAAACAGAGAGAGGATGTTATCAATCAGCCTGTTGGATATGAGAGACCAGATGTTTTTTGGCACTTGCAAGTATTTTTCTTTTACATTAATTGCTTCTTTAAATAGATACACGGGAGTGTGTCTCTGAGTGCATTATAGCCAGAGATGAGAACCTCAATCTTGGCCTTGGACCTAATTTGGAGATGAAAGAACATCCATCACTGCGGCCAAGCCAACTACCCAACACCTCCTAAGTCACTGTGGTCTGCTTTGTGCATCAAGGAAATCACATCTCATACCTCTGCCAGAGGAGCAAGCATTGTGCTTGTCAAGCTTTAGGGAAATGAGCTGGCTGGCCCTGAATGAATTTGGCTCACAAGGGTCTCGTAAAAGCTCCAGACTGCTTTGCATGACTTCAGGCTGACTTAGGAGCCTGCTGACGTCTAGTGTCTCACATCCAAGAACCTTTCGTGAATCCATCACTTTTGTCATTCAGCTTTTGAATACACCGCAGCTCAATGACTTGATGAACACTAAAACTAGCAATGTGGAGCAACCTGAAAGAGTTAGGAAAGTGTCTGTTGGGGGATCGAATCATCAACTTGTAGTTTCAGTCATAAAGTAAAATTAAATGTTTTGATAAGACACAGGAAGCACCTATGTCACAAATACACACAAACTCAACATACTCAGCAAGGGAAACAAATAACAGGGGGTTGTTCATATCAAGTAAATATCAAGTGCATGCACCAAGGCCTTACTTTTTCTCTAAATGACATATCAATATACAGTAGTTCAAAGCTTTTGCAAACAATCGAACAGTCCTAAGTTTCTATTTCTATTCTATTTCTAATGTAGTTTCAATTAATAGGTGAGCCAAAGCTATGCAGTCATCAATCCTGTATCTGCTCCCAACCAGTCCACTAATGAACAGTGTTGGGCAGTAACATTATTACTTTTCCCAGTAACTAGTGCAACTAATTACTTTTCTAAAACAGTAATATTATTACAGGTAGGCTACTAATCCAAGTAACGCTGAATTACTGCGTTACTGAACGTACCGTCTTGACGTGAATGCGCGACTGTACACAGCGGTACCGGACCTTATGTTATTCATGTCAAAAACTAAAGAAAGAAAGGAGAACGAGGGAGAGACGCGTTCTTTCCACAGCTGTAAGTAGCTACTGCCATATTGTGTCAAAGTCTAAGATTCAAAGAACATTGTCGTCTATTGTAAACTCGACCAGCAAATAGCTTTCAACCGCGAAAGAAACTCCGGCCGCTATTGTCTCTGATGCTTGGACCCGTCGGGAGAGAGTGGCGTCAACGTAACCTACTGCTTTTATAAATGCTACATGTGCTGAAAAACAGCTGTTCAAAAGTTGGGATTTGCTTGCTTTATTTTTAAAAATAAGTAAATAAACAGGCCAATATGTTTTGTAAAAAAACACACTGCTTGCTGCTGTTATGAATATGATATTAGTTAAAAAGTCGGGAGAGACTCCTGTGTTTGGGGGTGAAGGAGGTGGTAGTGAAAGCATTGATTCCCACAGTAATGAGTAGCCTGTGCTTAGTAACGAGTAATATATTAAAATTTCTGAGTAACTTGCCCAGCACTGCTTATGAAGGAGGTCAGGGCCATGTTGACCTTTTATGTCACTGAAAAATAAACAGTAAGACTGATTCAGCATTAGATATTTACACAGGCCGTGGGCGTCTACGAATGGTGTCATTGATTGACCAGAAGATGGACCACTAATAGCCTACCAGTTCATTATAATTGACGTGCTCGCAGTCCGTAAAGAAAATGACTTGGAGGCATGCGGGGGACAGGTGCGGCAGACACCTGCAAGTTGAAATGCTGAACACTAGAGGGAGCAATCACATTAACACGATCAGAATACCAGCTGCAGTCAGATCACGTGTGTGTGTGTGTGTGTGTGTGTCTGTGTGTGTGTGTGTGGTCAAGAGTGTGGTCACTCTACTTTGTTTTAAGTCTTTTAACCGACATACATTGCCTTGAGGCATCATTATTCATTTGGACCATAGATTTGGCCCAGAGAGGTGGGTTCCCTTTCGCTTCGTGATGAAGACTTAATGTAGCTGCAGCTTGTCTACTGTCACGAAGCCTGAGGCTGCTGCGTCAAGTTAACCAGATGTATCGAGAATGGTACCGGAAGTATGATCAATCACCGTTTTCAAAATTAAATCGACCCGAAGGCGTGGCTGCTGATAGGCTTCTAAATCTTTAATAAGTACCATTGGATTGTATAGTTGTGTAATAAATGTTATTGCAGGTATTGTATGACTTGTGAATTATTCTTCTACACTTTTGTTATTTTGGATTGTGTGAATGGTACATTTTTTTAAATGTGTTTCTATGACCTTTTAACCACTTTATTTTTATTTTGTGAAGTGTTTTTGAGAACCATAAAAGCACTCTATAAATAAGTGTGTTGTTATTATTAATATATTATTACTAAATAAACAATATTTTAAGGGATTTTTTTCTTTGGTCTTTGGTCTGCTGTCTTCATGTGAATTATGTAGGCTGCAGAACGTCTGTCAATTATTTCAACAATTTAAAATGTAGGAATTTAAAATCACGAGATGCTTGAATGTAAAAAAGATGTGGATGAGTCACTGTTCCTATGAGCAATGGGATCCTGAATAAACAGACTATTCTCTGCCAAAGTTATAGGATGTGTGGTTATTTCACATGAGAGATTTCTGTGTGTTTATTTTTCTGTGATCTTCTCACTGTTTTGAAGAGTTGAAGGCCTCAGTTGGAAACATGTGATGCACCTTACTTCTTACAATCCACCAATCAGGATTTAGCAACATTACCTCTGATGACAGTTCAGTCACTATCAATCACCCACCATGTCCTGATGAGGTAGACTAGCTGAGTTTTTGAGTGTAAACAATTAAATGTGGCCGGGCCTTTTCTGTTGCTGCCCCTAGGCTTTGGAATATTCTTCCACCTTTGACAACTTCAAATCTAATTTAAAGACCTACTTTTTTCTCTGGCTTTTACCTCATTCTGACTCAAGGGTTTTTGTCAAGCCCACTTTTAATTGTGTTAATGTTCTCTCACAGCATTTTAATCTGACATTGTTCTTATGTATTTCATTTGAGTTACTTTGCTTTTGATTTTAACCTGTCATTAATGTGTACCAGTGTTGTATTTATTGTGTTAATCTTGATACCCAATGGTATAAAACCTACTCTTTATACTTTTTATTCGTGGATACTTGTATTTGGGTTTATTGTGTATTTGGGAAGCACTTTGGGTTAACTCCTATTTTTTTTAAATGTGCTATATAAATATAAAGTGACTTGACTTGAATTGACATAAAATCTTAACATATAATTATTGATATGAGTTTGCTTTGTTTTTTCTTTGCCGCTTATTTGATATTGAGCATTTGATGTTATAGAGTTTTCAGGGATTCAAAGTCTTTTATTTTGACACGTCTAGGCGGAAATGGTGCGTTCACTGGCTCTGACCTGGCGGGCGGGTTGTAGGAAGGATCGGGGAGGGACGCTCGTAAGAAAACCTGACACGCTAGCTTCAGCAGAGTAGCTGCCAGGCAATTACAGCAGCGACGTATCGAGGGAGGGTGGCTACCGAAACTAATCAGAAGGGCCGTCCAGCACCTGAACCATCAATCGGGTTTATGAGTAAAGGCGATCAATCATCCTGCGGTTAACCTTCGGAAGAAACGCGGAAGTGTAATTCAACGTCAACGGGCTTTTTTTGTGACTTATTATCGGTGACAACATGGCTGAATGTAACATTAGCATCGACAAGAATAAACTACCTGGAGTGAAAGAGGGTAACGTCCGTAACATATTTGCCGGCTAAATGTGAATTAAGCTAGCTGTTTAGTAGCATCACACGTAACGTTATTCAGCTCGGAGACACAAGCAAGGCTAAATGTTAATCGAGTGAACACAGGTGTTTTCTCTTTGAGCTCCTACACCACGGTTTTATATATATATATATATATTATAGGTCAGTAGACTTAAGGCTAGAGTCAGGTAGCAAGCACTGATTAGTCTTCTTAGCTTGTGTGTAAGCGTCGTGCCAGATTTTGTAGCCCAGTCCAAATCTGCCTACATCAAGGTTAGAAGCATTGATTTAGCAGGAGAAAAGAGCTTGGCAGATTGTGTTTGGATTATGGTGAAAAGCTCTGTGGGCAAAGCATTGGATATACACAATCTGGCACGACACCAGCGTGGGTAACGTTACATACAGTATAGGAGTCAGTGGATGTGTAGTGATCACGTGGACGTGCTTGTCTAGTTGTAAGGTATGTGGTTCAGCCAGAGCGCCAAGGACAGGATGTGTTTAAGTTTTTTTGTGATCAAAGCTGCTTGGACAGTGGACTGAAAGAGTATCTGACATATTCGGTTACACTTACTGTACTGCTTTGAAACATTATCTTAAAAACCTTAGTAACCAGCAAGAAAGACCTTTAAAAAACGACAACAAAAAAGCCCCCTCATCACTTTCATATACATGCCCCCTTTGTCTACTGTTGCTACTGACGTGAAGGTGAAAAGCAGGTGGAGAGTGGGGCTTTTACAAGGAAGCAGAGTTTGGATGGGATGCTGTGCTGGTGTGAAGGACCGTGCCCTGTTAGTGTGAAGCAGCTGCTCAGCAGGATGCTTGTTATTCTGGTCAGAGAGAGAAGGAGTGAGCATTTCCACTGATTGGCCCGTCTGCAGAGGGAGAGACTGAGAAAGCTGCTGGAAAAGTTTCAACTTTCATCCCTTGTGTGTTAGGAAAACACAAAATGTTGTGAGCCTGTCAAGTGGCATTGTACTGTAACTTGCAGATGAAGTATTTCGCCATTTCCCACTGCACATGAAGCATGAACAAAAGGCTCGTCTCTTGTGGTCACATGTGCATCGAGGTGTCATGTTAGGTTTATCAAATGATTGTGTGAAAAACTAAACCATTGCTCGTGGCTGTAATCCTTCCGGCACTTGTTGCTTGGTGATGCTGTGAAAGATACACCCATTTAAATACGGCAGTTAGCAAAAAGCAATTTTCAAGGAACTGTCGCAAAAACCCACACTGTTACAGAAGTTAAAGTGATCCATGTATAGGGCTATAGAAGTTTCTTGGCTAAGAAGATTAAGCATATGGTTGAAAAATGGTCTGTTAATCAAATCCAATACTGCTGTCAGGCGGTGGGGGGGGTCTCTCCCTCCTCTTCACAGCATCTGTTCAAACCCAACCATTCGCCCAGTCACCCCCCCCATCTATCCAATCTCTCCTCTGAGATTTGTTTGTGAGTCCCGGGCATTTCTGTGTTTGTCAATAATATTGGCAAATAATTTGTTTACCCAGAGCTCTCTCTAATGCACGCCAACACATAGTCCTAGACTCTTGCTGGCTATTCATTTTTTATGTGGATGAAGTCATCTTTGTGAGAGCAGATGATGGGCTGTGAGCCTGGCAGTGTGAGGTTACTGAGTGGCGCTAGGCTCGGTATTAAAAACTGGAAGGAGGAGAGCTTTAAATACAAGATTAGTGTCAAAGAAAGGATTGATATGACTGAATATATAAGATGTATGATAGGAATAAGTCTCATCCTCAAACAAGAGTAGATAATAGAAACACTCTTGAGTAAGTTACATTATTTATTTTGGTCGTCACTGAATAGACCCACTGTCGACTGCAGAGTGGTGAGTGGCTTCCTGCAAGATGAGATCATGGCTTCATTGTAATTCTTCTATATTTTTAATGCGGTGATCTTTACACAAGTTTTTCAGCTAAAGAAAAGTTTCCTACTGCAGTCCTTCAAGATGGATGCTAAACAGAGGGTAGTTAAATACATGTTCACCGGACCGTAAAGGCAGATACTATACG